TGTAAGTGAGAGCGAGGTAGGACAACTTAAGACTTTTAGGTAAGTGCCTCTCTATTGATAAGAATAGGGACAGGGTATATAGCAAGTTCAGGCTAGGTATCCACCATCTCATGTGGGCAATGTTGGATAAGCCGAGTTCCATCCTCAGCAGTGAAGAGCAGTGCTAAGCCTCTGAACTCATAGTTTCCTATTCCAAGTCCCTCAGGCAGAAAGGGACAAAACAGAAAGATAAGCAATCAATAGGGCAATCTACAGTGTTAAAATAATTTTCCTCATGCCAGATTAAGAGTTTACACGCATTTCAAGAGTCTCACGCATTTCAAGAGTGAGCTACTGAATAGCTGCTCACATCACACTGTCAAACACACTATTCTTCCTTGATCTTCAGTTACCCTTGCCTGGAGCAGTGACTTAGACTGGTATGTAGGAAATTACTGTAGTACATGGATGAATTCTTTTTAATTTGATGGAGTGATACCTTTTATAGCACAGTCACATGTACAGGCCTTCACAGGGAGCCTTTCATCGTTGCCAATGCAATGAGGTATGTCTGTATGTGAAAGAAAAATGGTATGCTAATATTGTGCAAAACAGAACAGACCAAATGAACAGGTATGAGTAAAACAGATGCATACAAATACAAACAGGCATGTGATATTAGATTTTTCACAAGATGTGATCAATCAGGAGCTGCTCAGGCTAGCTACGTAAAACGATTAGGAAATGTCAGTGTTTGCTATCCAAAAGGTGGGCCACCCATGCTTGACTAGACAGAGCTGGTCTGTGGCCCAGAGGACCTACAGCTCAACCTGAAATAGGTGCAAAACAAAAAAAAGACAGAAGGGCGAGTGTTTGAGGTACAGAACCCCACCAGGAGCCTCTCTAGAGTCAGTACTTTTGTCTCTTTCCTGGGAACCATCACAGAAAGAGCTTGGTGGTGTGTGAGAGGCCTGATCACCAAAAGGAACTGTAAGAAATGTTAAGAAAGATTCACTCTCCAAGGTTTAAGATCAAACAGCTATGCTGCAAGGAAGACTCAGCCCAAAGTCACATGACAGGGAGTAGGTTTCTTTCACCTGTTTTCTGTTTTAGTCTTAACACACTTGAATGCCTCACAAAAGAAAAGCCCTGGTCCCTGTCCCATCAGAAAGCCTGCTCTTTTCTTTCTGTACACAGCCCTGCATTATCCTCACACCACTAGATGAAGAGATGCCTCTGAGAGGTCAACTTACACTGGCAGGGGGTGGGGAGCCATGAATCTCTATTCTTCTGTGTTCAAGCTCAAAGAGAAACTAAGAAGCTGTTGTACGCACCAGCTCAGCCATGCACTCTACTGGAGAGTAAGAAAGACCACGGCCTTTAATCTGCACTGAAAGGAGATGGCAGGGACCACAACAGGCAATATGCTCAAAGAACAATGCTGTTTGACTAACGTTCACTTGCAGACCAGGCCACGCACTTGGACACGCATTGAGCACTCCTGACCTTCCCCAGTAGCAATGCTAATCTTGCAGAAAGCAGGCTACTAATGTTGCCATGAAATCCATGTCTCCCACTTGCAGCTTTTACTAACTGCACACAGAGGTGTTTTCATCTAGTAACTGTACTAAGACTGGGTTTCAGCAGAGGTGCCTGAACCCAAATTTGAGCCACTGCAAGGCTGAAAATTTTCTGCATCTAGCAAAATGGAAAAGAAAATACTGAACAACAGAAGTTCTGTTTCTGTTTTCCTGAATTTTTATTTTTCATATAAAGCAAGATTGTAAGACTGAAGAAAACTATGTTTCTCTCTGAACTTCAACAACATTCACGATTCCAAGCCGATACACAAATTTCCTTGACCATATTTTAGAGTCCTGTAAAATGAAATCCCCAAGCCCACATAATTCTTTGTCTGCTGTGTTTTCCTTAGTAGAAAGATGGCACTTCCCATCTGCCCCAGAAACATGCCAGGACCTCAGCATCTACAAATATCCCAAGACAATGAATCACTGGATGTACACATAAAGAAAAAAAAAAGTTAGGAAACCTGATCTGGACTGCTGACCTCCAAAAAGTGGTGGGAACAGCTACAGCACATGATCATAATAACAGTGTGACCACAAAATGGCACAAACCATTCTAGCCACTAGGGACATCATAAAGCAGGACGTTTATCTCTGACCTGGCTGGGAGTGCTCAGCTATGCTTTTGGAGCCAGAGACTAGATGGGTCACTGAAACAAATATTTTCAAGAATGTTTCAGAAGTACAGATCTTACAATTATTTAGAAACTTCCTGGAAATGCCCAAGGCAATGATCATCTGTTATCATTCTTCTTAGACTGCTTTCAAGAATTATATAGATAAATTCACATAACATGCCCCAGAAGGGCAAACAGGACACCTGTAGGTGACTGGATTAGAGTTACTAGCCTGTTAAAAAGGCACGACATGAGGCTGCTGACTATGCTACCCATGAGCAAAAACCTAAAAACTTCTGCAAAAATTATCACTTAACTGTGAGGCACAAAGAACACCTCATCCCTCTCTATGTGCCTCCCATGGCAGAGTTCTTCACCTACCCTTTTAATAATCTAAGTATCCTCCAACAGCAGTATGTGAGCCAACAAAACCATGGAGAAGGGTTCAAAACTGCCAGTGCTCCCTCAAAGGATGCAAACACAAGCAAAGAAGAATTCCTGGCAGCCTGGAGAGCAGGAACATGCACGGCCCAAGTCAGTCCCACAGGCATCTGCAGTGAAGAGCTGACAGTTCAACGTGAGGCAGATCCAGCCAATGAACGCAGAGTACTGTCTAAAGTACTTTCATTGGATGGAAGCCAAACTGCAAAACAGACACCCTACTCCTCCTACAGGTCCAGATCACTTTAGCATTCATCAGCCCATGAGGTGGACAAATTGATCCTTTTGCCATCAGGTACCTGACGAAGCTAAAATGAGTTCCTGGAAGACACAGTTTTTAGAACACAATGACTAGGAATGGAGACACAGAAAGTACGTGTGTGGTACTCCCACAGGCAAGAACCCTTACAGAGGAATTTTCTTCATCCTACTTCATGAAAGCTCCCTGAAAGGAGCTGAAATGAGTGAAACAGAAGCAAACCTGTGGAAAGAAAAGGATGCTTCTCCATATCTCCAAATTTCTACTTAGTTTAACCTTTTTGCAGAAGGACAAGGGACAGGTCATTCTCTGTGAGTGACAGGCAAAGTCCATTTTTCACACATATCACAAAATTACCCTGCTCTGCTCCCATATAGTAGTAAATGAGCAGAGAAAGATAACCCTAACCATGTCTTACTGTCAGAGCTTGGCAAGCCACATTGGAGACAGTCATACCACAGCAAGCACAGAGCGAGCCCTCAGCTTTGTGTAACCAAGTTATTACCAAACTTTGTTTGCAAAAGATCCTGTGCGGAACTGCAGGGGACTTCCTATATGAGCTGACACCGCCAGCAGCGGCAAAGATTCCCAGCTGAGCACC